AAAAAAAATTGCGAAGAATCAAAGAAAGAAGGTTGAAGCGAAGTTAAGAAGCACGAAAAATAAGTAGAAGTGTTCTCGAAGATTTTTCTAATCCCCTTAGAGATATATAAGCTCGGACACGGTTGATGAAATATGTGAAAATACAAGATTGAGTATCAGGGTGAGATAGAAGTCTCAGACTATAACATAAAAAAGAAGAAGAGTACTTGCCATGCGTTGGCTGGAAAACAGTGAAATCTCCAAATAGAATCATAACGGTTGTCACGTCATTGATAGAAAACGGTTAGTAATAAAATTGCAGAAAAGAAAATTGATATAATGGGGCAAGATTAAATTTTGTTGGGGCACCTTTCCACTTAAGTCATATTGGGAATCAAAAAACCACCAATGAAGAAGGACTTTGGAACAAAACCGCAAAAAAAAAAAGACTGAACCTCGGAAAGATGCTGCATAGAAAGCTATAATGTAAGATAGATTTTTTTAGACAAAGGAATCAAAGAAGAGCGATTTTGAGATGTACAGCAATACCCGTATGAAAGACGGAATTATGTTTGACTTGATTCTACACTTAATCTATCAAGTTTGAAATATTGCGCTGAAGCTACGGAAATTTGAATAAAAAGTGCGATGGTAGCACAATGGATAGCAGAACTTATTAGCTCTCGTGTACAAGTAAAAAAGATACTTACAAAAGAGCCGGCAGCGATTTCCAGCGCCAATGCATACTTTGGATCTTTTATGCGGAAAAGCGTGGCAATGCAACCTCGCACATCATCACGATTGAAACCAACAAAAGGATCCTTGTAGGTGAAGTGTATACGGGGATTTCTAAATCATCGTTGTTTCAGAATCAATCTCTAATAATATAAGAAAACTATATAAGGATTCTATATGAAGTCCTCACTTTTGATGCAATATGTTCAACTTTATCTGCATTTGATGAACCTCCTGCTGATAAGTAGCAAGAGTATCACGATTTTTCGTATCCACTTCTTCATTATAGCTGATCGCTGCTAATTCTTGCTGAAAAATTACGTTTAGGACGTGCGCGCCAAAGTTTAGCAAAAAAGGTTTATGTTGAATATTTTTCACGTCAAATAGCAAATTTTTAATACCTCGAGAGTCTCAACTCTTACCCGGTAATTTTTCACTTCAACTTCTCTGGCTTTCAGTTCCGATGACTCAGCACTATTCTTCTTCGCCATCTGTTCGTACTCTGCCTTCTTCTTTTTCAATTCCGGCAGTATTCGTTTCTTTCTAAAACAATGAGAATTTCAAGGAAGTTTGTTTAATTTGATTTCCTAACTTACTTCTCTTCCGCTGTGGAAACTTCAGCCGCAATTTCTTTGAGTTTCGAGCGATACCCTAAAAATGTAGAGGGACTTCCACCAGTTCGAAGACACATACATTTATCGTGGTTGATTCAAGCTTACAAACATGACTCGATAGAATAGCAAGAG